TTATCAGGGAGGTCTAGAATAAGAAGAGTTGGAGCGAATTCGAACCAATACATAAACAGGAGTCGGTGCTTACTGGTGTCCCAGATAAGCATAAATATTCACAGGTATAGATGCAAGTAATATGGAGTAATATGTCTTCTTCGCTACACCAGATGTACAATAGTGGCCAAAACTGTGGCAACCTTTTGGGAAAAGTGTATTTTCTAAAACTAGCTAATAACACCACTTTTTTTTTTTGTAGGAGTAGTACCATAAAATTGTATATCCATGGAAAGATAATTTAATCGAGAATGTAATGCCGCAACTTCTATGAAGGATTTGCTGTTAGAATAGCAGTGACAGTCTAAAGAAGGAAAGTGAAACAGGTAGAAAAAAACGAGATATACAAAAATGATCCCCATAGAAAAAAAACGAGATATACAAAACATTATCACCATGTCAGTTCATACTGAGTTGGGTCACCTTTAGCATGAATGACGGCCTTACAACGTCTTCCCATGGAGTGAACCAAGTCTTTGAGTTCTGCAGCTGTTCTAATGTGAAACCAAGATTGAAGGATGGCTTCTATTAACTGGGTTTTATTGCTGGGTCGCTCCTGACTAATAAGTTTCTTTAGTTAGCTCCATAGATTTTCAACTGGGTTAAGGTCAGGGCTCTTCCCAGGTCATTCCAGCAGTGGAATAGGATTATCTTGAAACTCCAAAAAAAAAAAAAAAAGTGGTGTTATTAGCCATCAAACTTCAAAAATACACTTTTCCCAAAAGTTTTCCAACATTTTGGCCACTACTGTATCTGGTTCTGCAAAGAAAATCCTTTAACTTCTTAATACTGAGTATATTTTAATACTGGTTCTGGTTGGTGGATCTTTGGGCAAAAAAACCCCGACACACACTTTTCTCATGAGCCTGAAATTTGCATATTTCTATACTCGATTATATCCTTCTGAAGACAAAAAGTATTCAGAAAAACCCGTTAACAAGTTGTCCTCCCCGTAGAAGGTATTAAGGGAATAAAATAATATATTAAAGACAATCAGAGTGCAGCAAAGACGCAGAAAAACCTCACTCTGCTTCGCCACCTTGTGGTTGTCCTGGGTTTTACAAATACAGTAAGTTTACCCTAAATTGAATTTTATTTTCTGGGTTTGTATAAGACACCCACCCACAAAGCAGCTGAATTGCCTTGGTTCTCCTTGACATACCAAACCAACAGAAAACTTAATCCACCGTTCAGAGGTTGGCCAAATGCAATTACTAAGTTTATAACGATCTGGTGAAATCTACCGAGTAAACAAGAGGTACAGTTTAAAAAAAAAAAAGAACACACGGCACAGGGCCTCATCATCATTGCTGCTAGTTCTAGTTAATGCTCTAACTAGCAGCAATTAACCAAACCTGCCTTTAACCTCCAGGTAAACCCCTGGCTTACTAAATTATTTTTCCAAGTCCTCGCTGTGCATTGAACCATAAAGAAAATCAAACTTGCAAGGTTGGGACTAACATATACTTAAAAGAGGCGACCCATCACAAAATCCCCACCTAAAGTGAACCCAAATTTATGCATAGACTATGCAGGCTGCTATCAATATATGTACTATTAAATAATGTATTTCCTTGGTATATTTTTCTATGGAAATCCCTAGTAGAAACTGCTCAGGTTCTCCCTTTATTGAGTTCTGAATTATTTCCTCTATCCACTTTTTAACTTTTACCCGCATAGTCTATGCCCAAAATTGGAAGAAGGAAAATTTGCCATCAGAAGAAGATTTAATTAGAAAACTTTTAGAATGTGCAGAGATGGACAAATTAACCAAAGAACTCAAGGAAGAAAGAGGATACAGAATATTTCAAAGTGTGGTGTAGATGGTTGGAGAATAGGAAAAATGAGAAAGAGGAATAAAACGAGAGAGGGGAATAAAAATGTTGAAGATCAAGGTACAAGGTAGATGAAATAAAGAAAGATGGAAAATAATTGTTGAACAAGACAAAGTTAAAATATGTGTAAATAGCCCCGGGACCTCCTCTCCTTCCGCTGCGATTTAAAAACGTGGCTTTTTCGCCATATGGGCTGAATCCGTAGGGGGATTCTAAATATTTCATAATTTTAATTTGATTTTAATTAATTTTAAATTGATTTTAACTGTTTGTGTAATTTTCTGTCGTTTTTGTAAGCCGCCCTGAGTCCTACGGGAGAAGGGTGGGATATAAATTACATAAATAAAATAAAATAAAATAAAATAAAATAAAATAAATAAATAAATAAATAAATAAATAAATAAATAAATAAATAAAGGTAAATAGCAAGAAAGGATCACTTTGAAACAGCTGTAGGAAAAAGTGCTATGTATACTGCTCAAAAAAATAAAGGGGAACACAAGCAGAAGAGATCTGAATGAATGAAATAACCTTATTAAATACTTTGTTCTCTACATACAGTAGTTTATACACCGCTCAAACAACTAAAGGTAACACAAAACTACTGTATGCAACGCACAAAGTATTTAATAAGGCTATTTTATTCCTTCAGATCTGGGATGTCTTCTGCTTGGACTTCCCTTTACTTTTTTTTTTTGAGCAGCGTATATAAACGTTGTGTGTTTGTGTCTCGTTTTAATGTATTCAAAATAAAAAAAAACACTTTAAAAAATAAATAAAGCGAACCCAAATTTATTGCCTTGTATAAACGCCAATCCTCAGATCCAGCCTCCCCCACCCCACCCTCTCTCTCTCTCTTTCTCTCTCTCTCTCTCTTTTTCTCTCTTTCTCTCTCTCTCTTTTTTCCCACCCGTACATCCGCAACTCAGCCTGCCCCTTTTGCAAAGCTTAATCTTCATTCCCTACTGAAGGTTGGACAATAATAAATAATAAATAATATAAGGCGCAGGGGCGGAGTTTTCCCAGGCTTGGGCTGAGTTTTTTTTTTCTTTTTTTTTTCTCCTTCCCTTCCCTGTCTAGCTTTGCAAACCGCCGGGAGGTTTTTCGCGGCTGGAGCCGTGCCACCCCATGCGCTCCCTTCTCGCTACCCAACTCCAAAGGGCTGCCGTGCGCATATGTGTGCGTGCGCGGCGCAGGAAGCCAGGAGCGCTTTTGGCACGTGCTCCGTGGCGGGCCGGGAGGGAAGGGAAGGGGAAAAAGGGGAGGAGGAGGAGGAGGAGGAGGAGGGCAGGGAAAGCCGAGCTTGCACACTCGCACACTCGCGCCCGCGCGCACGCCCCGGCCCGTCTCGCAGGGTGGAGGCAAGGCAACATTTGGCGGCTGTTTTAGCCGCTGGGGATGAGAGAGAGAGAGAGAGAGAGAGAGAGAGAGAGAAGGCTCCTTGATTGACAGCTGCGAAGGCTGCCATCCAATGGGAAGCAGATTGGCTTACAGCCGTGCCCCGATTGGCTGTCAGCCTGGCAGGGCTTCGCGTGCCGGGCAGCTGCTGCTACTGCGCCTCTTCTTCTTTGCTGTTCCATCCATCCCTCCATCCCTCCATCCCTCCATCTATTTATTTATTTGTTTATTTTATTTACTCTCCCTTTCCCCTCCGCTTTTGCAACAGCTGGAGGGAAGTGTGAGCCAAGCCCCCCCTTTTTCTCGGAGCATCTCTCCTTTTTTCCTTCCCCCCCCTTCTGCTTCGCGCAGTTCCAAAAGGAGGTTTTGCTTTTTTTTTTTTGGTCTGTTAAGCGACCCCCAAGCGACCCCCACCACCTCCTGCTCCCATAGAAGCTGAGCTATGGGGCTTCACTTCTGGCTAAACCGGGACGGCGTTGCAAACAGATGTGTGCTGTGCCAGGAAAAGGTGGAGGGGGGGGGCTGTTTTGCTTTGGAAAGCCAGTTCCAGGGGATTAGAACCGAGTTAAGGGGGCTTTTATAGCAGACCAGCAAAGTATTATCCCCGGGGTCTATAAATCTAAATAATGGTGGGGGGGGGAAAAGAAAGCTGAAGGGGAGAAGGGACGATCTGTAGAAACTGTCCTGCACAACCGGCTGTCTCCCTGGGCCGAGCGATTCAATGGAGGGGAATGTATTACCTGGAGTCAATACTCCCAGGTTTCCCCCACCGGTGCTAATGTTGAGCGGCCTTTCCCGCCCTTCTGGAAGAGGGGGGGGCTCAGGTGGGAACAGGAAGCCGGCCGAACCTTCAACCCACGTTTTCGCTGTCCCCCCCTCCCCAAATACCTTTAATAATGATCGAAAACCGGACACCTGCCCATGAGACGCCAGGTGGGAGTCCATTCGCGTGGGCAAAAGAAAGACACTGAGAAATCCATTCAACCTGCCCACCCAATAAAATCATCATCATCATCATCATCGGAGCAGAATCCCAATGCAGGAAAGCCACCGCTGGGCACGTCCTAAAAATCGGGGTCTTCTCCACTTTTCCCCACCCCTCCCCCCAATTTTTGGAGAACCTCTTTCTCTCCAACCCCCCATCTTCCCCCCCCCCAGCCTTCCTTTTTTTTTCTTTTTTAAAGGTGCAATTGGGATTCACGCATTCCAGCACGGATGGCGCGGGATTCTCCTTAACTGGGGCACGGAGAGCTCGATGCAGACCCTCGGGTTGGGGGAGGGAGGGGGAGGGCCTGGGGAGGGGAGGGGGAGGACTGTGTGTGTGTGTGTGTGGAGGCTTGGAGGAGAAACTCGCCTTCTTGGAATGCCCAGGTTCAATCCGAGCTTAGCGATCCATACCTAACAAGACCAGGTATACTAAGTTCAAAAAGAAGAAGAAGAAGAAGAAAAAGAAGCGGGGAGAGAAATAGCCAAGCAATAAATTGGAGCGTGGGGAGGGAAGGGAGGGAGAGGAGGAGGAGGGGGACGCGAGGGAGGGGGGGGCAACTCTTGGCGCGTGACTGACAGCTCGCGGGGGCGTCGTCCAATCGGCGAGCCCGACGGGGAGAGTCCCGCTTCCCATTGGCGGACGGGAGTGTGGGAAAGAATGTGGAGCAGGTTTCACACGAATTAGGGAGCTGCAGTCGGCTATATAAAGCCAGGGGGGAGCAGCGCGTTGCAGCCAAAGCAACGGGAGCAGGAGCCGGGAGACTATTTTTTTGCCACTTGCCGGGGCTCGATCGCGTTTTTTTTTTTGTTGTTGTTCTTGCAAAACGCCTCTCCCTCCCTCCCTTCTTTCCTTCCTTCCTTCCTTTCTCTCTCTCTCTCGTGGAAGCCGGCCCGGCTCTCCCTCTTAATCTTGGGGAGGCGGAAAAGAAATTCAGATTCCCATCGGATATATATATATACAAGTTTGATCGCTTCCAGTTCTCTTTCCCCCCCCACTTTTTTGTTTGCTTGTTCGTTCTTGCGGGGGGAAAGGTCGAAACAAAACCGAGGTTACCAAAATGCCAGCCGATACGATGGAAAAACCCACCGCCTCGCCGATTGCCGGAGCCCCGGCCAGCTCCAGCCAAACCCCAGATAAACCCAAGAGCGCCAGCGAACACAGAAAGGTAAATTCCCTTTGCTCTCCTTGTTCCCATGAAATTAAAATCGAGCTGCCCCAAGATTTGTAGACCCCCCCCCTTCTTAAACCGCAAGCACGGATAAGATAGTTCGACTCCCCTTCTCTCCATCGGGGCTGATTGACAGCCAGTCACCCACCTACCCCACTCTGCGCTTGCTTGCTTGTATGCTTGCAAACGATTCGAGCAATTTTTGTTTTCCCTGCTGAGATTTTGAGAGAAGCCGGCAATAAGGGAGGGGGGGATGTACTGATAGGAGAAAGAAGGAAGGAAGGAAGGAGGAGGTGAAGAGAGGGCATTAGACGACTGGTAGATAGGGAGGGAGGGAGAGTGCAAGCGAGGACAGCATCTGGGTAAAAAGATTTGTGGAGTTGGGAAGTGGAAATCCACTTACAGCTTTAGGGAATCCCCTCCCAAAGTTGCCATACTTGGGAACAGAGAGACCCCCCCCCCACCCTTGCCATGCTTAGGTGGGACCCACAAGTTTGCTTAAGCGCCCTGAATCTCTGCCAAAGGGGCTCAATTGCAAGACGGGGAGGGCTCCCCCCTCCTGACACTGCCCACCTCCCCCCCACGCCCCTCCTCCATGTCTGGTTGGGTTTTTTCTAACCTTTCTCTCTCTCTCCTTTCCCCCAAACAGTCGTCAAAACCCATCATGGAGAAGCGAAGGCGGGCGCGGATTAATGAAAGCCTGGGCCAGCTCAAAACTCTCATCTTGGATGCCCTGAAGAAAGATGTAAGTTGGTGGGGAGGGGAAGGGGGATACAAGATTGAGTCTGTAGCCTTTGAAGTGGGAGGGAGGGGAGGGAAGGGGAGGAGGAGGAGCCTGGGATCCCTACAGTTTTAGGGATATACCCGAGTCGGTGGGGTTCAAGGCATCTCACCTTTCCTTTTTATTTATTTTTTTTCCTCCAGAGCTCCAGGCACTCAAAGTTAGAGAAAGCAGATATCTTGGAAATGACTGTAAAACACCTGAGAAATCTCCAAAGAGTCCAGATGACAGGTGAGTAAGCACAAACCTCTTGCCCCAAAGTAAGAGAATAAGGCATTTTTTGCCTTTTGAACTCTGGGGAAAGGAAAAGGTTTCTTCTCCAGAAAGAAAATAAGGCTATATAATATGGAAAATCTTAGCTGTCTTAAGGGGCCACTGTTTTTTTTTGGGGGGGGGGTTTCCCTCCCAACGCAGAGTTTATATACTCTGTTCTTGCTTCCAAGCATTTAGTGGCCATAATCATCTTAGTATCTCCTGCAAGGAGGGAGGATAGACATGCCAAAAGATTTTGTTGGCTTAGCAGGATTTGAAGCCATCTCCCTGATTCAGGGCCCTAAAAGGGGGAGGGAGAGAGGGAGGGGTTGGTCCTACCCCACCTAGGAAAATCCCACAGATGCCCAAGCCCAGATCTTCTATCCCTCTGGATCTAAGGCAACGTTGACTGACCCGGAGAAAGCAGCTCATCCCTAGGAAAAGCAATTTGGTCCCAAGATGGTCCTAGTCATTAATCCTTCACGCTTTTTCCCCCCCCCTCTCTCTTCCCTTGGCAGCTGCTCTGAGTGCGGATCCTACCGTCTTGGGCAAATACCGAGCTGGATTTAATGAGTGTATGAACGAAGTCACTCGTTTTCTCTCCACCTGCGAAGGGGTGAACACGGAAGTCCGTAGCCGGCTCTTGGGGCACCTTTCCACTTGCCTGGGTCAGATCGTGGCCATGAATTACCCGCCCCCGCCGCCCCCTCCCCCTCAGGCCACCAGCGGACAGCCTGCGCATTTGGCACAACCTTTGCATATCCAGTTGCCAGGACCAACAGCTGCACCTGGAGTCATGCCCGGGCCGTGTAAACTCAACCCCAGTGAAAATTTGTCCCCCAAAGTCTACGGGGGCTTCCAGCTGGTACCGGCGACCGACGGCCAATTCGCTTTCCTCATCCCTAGCCCATCCTTCCCACCTAACGCCGGACCTGTGGTTCCACTCTACGCCAACACGAACATGCCTGTTTCCAGTTCAACGGCGACTCCTTCGGTATCACCGGTGCAAGGGCTCACATCTTTTGGGGGCAGCTTAGCCCCCGTTTCTCAAGCCGGAGGAGAACGTCATGAGATGGTCTGGAGACCTTGGTGACTTCCCTCATCCCTTTTCTCTCCCCAGAGGAAAAAAAAAACATCCTGACTATTTTCAACATTGGTTCCGTTCTATGGAATCTGGACTTCTATACAGAATCCTCCCCCAACACACAAAAACTCATATTTATTCATGTCCAAAGGTTGGGATGCCAATTTGTATTTTTCATCTTTTTTTTTTTTAAAAAAAAACCACGTCCTGTGAAAATATTTCTTTTTTAAAAAAAGAAAAAAAAAAGTTAGTTTTGTATCAAATATTTGCCATGTACTATGCCAAAGCTTGTTTATGTCTGTCTTGGGACTTTTGTTTTTAAAAGAATGCTGGAAGATGTTTGTACAAATAAAACTTTTCTTGAATTAAACCTGCTGTTGTGTCAGTTTGCCGGAAACTTAAGAGCAGTGGGCAAGAGTTTAAAACTTTTTAGAAGAAATGGGATTGGGTTATCGATGCCATCTCCCTCCTTAGGGGGGGGCATCACAGATACCAGGCAGTGTTTGGAAGATGGAGGGGAGGGTTAGAAGGATTGTAGGCTCCCTCAGCAAATCAAGAATGCAGAAAATGCTTTGGATTCAGCTAGAATGTTCCAGTTGCATTATTAAAGGTTGAATTTTTTTTCATGGACAAATAACAGAATTAGGGTGTGATTATCTCAGAGGCGTTCCCATCTGTGAAAAAATGGGTAGGGAGCAGTCTTAAAGTATGTTATACTTGCAAAAATCTAAAAGGCCCCCCTTTTTTTGCTTAGGCAATTCTCAGATTTAATTGGGTAATCTTAAATAGGCCTATAAATGGGAGAAATGTGCCACGCAGTGCAATAAATGCCCATGGATGTGATGGGCAAGCCCTATTTTTCCCTTAATTTGGCAAAAGCTGCTTCAAGCAGCTGATAGTCCTTTCATGCTACAGATTCCTCTTTCAAATCACACACAATTAGCTTCCAAGAAAATAAAAGTTGCTTCCTTTATATATAACAACGGAGCCAAAAGTTAAGCCTTGTGATATTAGCAACATTGACAACATACACAACTCAAAATTTATGCACTTAGTTAGTTAGCCAAGATTTAAAGAGTCAACTCTCTGTTTTCCTTCCTTAAAATGTTAGCCCCCCAAAAAACCTGGCTGCCCTTCAGCAACTCCAAACAGTAAAAGCTAATATGGGAAAAGGAAAAAAAAAATTCATTATTAGGGAATCGTAATAAAAATTACGATTCCAAATTCAGTTTTGGTCCTTTCAGAGGGCAACTCCCAAATGCAATCCTCTGGGCTGCCAATCACATCTGTCCTGCAAATTTGCAGATGGTCATTAGATGGCAGTAAAGATATATACTAGCACCCCCTACTGGCCATCCCTATTTTTGCAACTCAGATCTACTGGCATACTAATTTCAGAATGGGAACTAGGGAAAAAACTGGTTTTTTTTCTAGCATATACCTTTAGAAAGGTTTCTAACGTAAATATTCTTCCATTCTTTCAAGAAAGGCGTTTCTGAATGGAGTCTTGAGTAGCAGCTGAGTTCTTGTAACTGATTTAACCTAGGTTATTAAAGTCCATTAAATCCAAAGGTGCTGGGATCATGAAATATCCTAAGCCACAATACAAGCAAGGTTAAAATAAACCACATTTATCATGTATATTCAACTGCTATATTTTTTGGGTAAGCATGTCGCATGACTGCATCTGCCTTATTTTAGACCGCTCTACAAAAACACCCAATGAGACACAGTCAGCTGCCCGTATATGTTGTCTTCCTCTATTTCTCAAAGTAGGGACCATGTACCCACTGCAGTTGTGGTGATAAGAGATATTATAGAAATATCTTATTTTCTAGTTGCGAAATATGCAACCTGACAGCCTGCCCCTATTCACCCGCAAGCCTAAGCCAACATTACCTTGCTCAGAAGCTCTTCTGCAGTTTTTAATCTGAGGTATAGAAAGGGACGTGGTGGCTCAGTGGCTAAGACGCTGAGCTTGTCATTCAGAAAGGTCGGCAGTTCGGCGGTTCGAATCCCTAGTGCCGCGTAACGGGGTGAGCTCCCGTGACTTGTCCCAGCTTCTGCCAACTCCCAGCAGTTCGAAAGCCTGTAAAAAAAAAAATGGAAGTAGAAAAATAGGGACCACCTTTGGTGGGAAGGTAACAGCGTTCTGTGCACCTTTGGAGTTTAGTCATGCCGGCTACATGACCACGGAGACGACTTCGGTAGAGCTGGCTCTTTGGCTTTGAAACGGAGTGAGCACCGCCCCCTAGAGTCGGGAACGACTTGCACATATGTGCGAGGGGAACCTTTACCTTTTACCTTATAGAAAGTTGCAAAGCAGCTTAGAAAAGCTACAGCATTCCCTTACTCTTAGAAAAGTCAGATTTATCTTCTCTATAAATACAAGATCTGAAATGGGGATGAAGGAACAGGGACTCTTGTTCCATATCCCGCAGCCTCGTAATACAAGTCTGCCATATTTGCTTTCCCCTCCAGTTCTGAACTTGGTTATCAAATGAGCAATTTGATTTTTTGAGTTTGGAAAGGAATTTTTTTCGGATCGAAGGCAGAAGAAGACGACAATCTTCGCATTCAAGCCTTCGGCACAAAAGCAGCTATTCTCCTGACCACAATTCAGCTAATCCTGTGTCACAGATGAGGTTGGCCAGTATTATCATGATGATGAATTCCTGCCAGAAAAACAGCTAGGCCATTCTCCTTCTCACTCGGACCCCCCCTGCACCCCCGCCCCACACTTCTCTGTAGGCCGAAAGGCAGCAATATCACCAAGTGAGAGTTTTGGGCCATAGTAAGGACCTGAAGACAGGGCTGGGACTGATGGGCACTTGCCCATGGGCCCCACGAGCATAGGGGCCCCATACTAATCTGTGTATGTTAACCCTTCAATGCACCTCGTATCATACAAATACAGCAATATATTTGTTACATTTTACTCAATGGTGAAATCCAAATTTTTTTTTACTACCGGTTCGGTGGGCGTGGCTTGGTGGGCTTGGCAGGGGAAGGATACTGCAAAATCCCCATTCCCTCCCCACTCCTGGGGGAAGGATAACTGCAAAACCCCCATTCCCTCCCCACTCCTGGGGGAAGGATATTGCAAAATCCCCATTCCCTCCCCACTCCTGGGGGAAGGATAACTGCAAAATCCCCATTCCCTCCCCACTCCTGGGGGAAGGATATTGCAAAACCCCCATTTTCCCCCCCCACTCCTGGGGGAAGGATATTGCAAAATCTCCATTCCCACCCCACTCTGGGGCCAGTCAGAGGTGGTATTTGCCGGTTCTCCGAACTGCTCAAAATATCCGCTACCGGTTCTCCAGAACCTGATGGATTTCACCCCTGGTTTTACTGCATTTTTTAAAAAATTAATACTAACATGCCAATAAAATTAATATGTGTTTAGTTTTATCGACCATTTACATTCTTTTATTCCTGTGAGTAGTTGTCTTGGCCCCCACCTCCAGCATAATGCTGTTAAGACGGCCCTGCCTGAAGATTCAGCTCCAATGTTTTATCTTGGCCTGCCTATCCAGTGCATAAATTGAGTGTTGTTTGAAGTCACGAACTGATTAAGAACCAGATTCAACCCCACAGCCTCCACGGAAGCAGGCTTGGTTTCCCTCTAGTCTAGCTCTACTTTTCTTTTTTCTCTTTTTCCTGGCTTCGGAGGAAACAGGGAAAAGTTATTCTCCCACCTTACGGGATGCGTAGCTGAGGAAGACTGCTTTGGCCTCTTTTGTAGGGAAGGGTAATTAAAAGATATAAAAGGTCTCATTGAATATGCAGCGGGTTCTTTTGCAAGACTGAGGGTCTATTGAGAGTCCGGGCCCTTCTTCTTCCTCCCATCAACCCCCGAAGTAGCCCCCTTCTCATTGATTGGGGAGAGGAAGGGGGGGCGCGCGAGATGGACTCTCCAACTCAATAGTGTTGTAAATTCAGCCGGTCGCCTTTACAAAAGCCTTCCTCATAAATGAGAATGATTCAACCCTGTTCTTCCTCCTTCCTCCCCACCCCCTCACCCCTCCCTCACCTTCCCTGTCAAACCCTCCCCCACTACCCTTGCCCACTCTGCTCCAAACCTCATCCACATCCAAGAAGCCAAAGAATTGAGGAGAAAACAATGTTACCACCCATTATGACACGCACAGCATGGGAAGAGCAGCCAAGGGGGAAGCGTCATAGCAAAGCCCCCTCCCCCAGCGTGTGCGCGCGCGGGGGAGGAGAAAAGGGGTATCCCCCAAAATGAGAGGGATGGGAAAAAGCTGTAAAAAAAGAAAAGAAAAAAAAAACACCAGAGATGCTTAAAAGTGGCAGCTTGGTGACAACTGCCACAAAGCCCTTCCCAAGGCATTATTTCAGAAAACCTTACAATAACTATCTGAAGTAGGTCAGGTAATTTATTAAACCCCACACACAGGCAGTCAAGGAAGCGTTTTGTCTCCAAGCAGAGAGAGAGAAAAAGTCCCAAGGGATCCGAAGGGACCAGTCCGTTGAGGAAATAAGCAAACTGACTTAAGGTGCAAAATTGTTTGTTAGTTTATTTGTTTTTTTCCAGAAGGGAAAAGTTAAAGGAGCGGCCGAGAAGATAAAGCAGAAATCCAATCAGGCTGAACAAGGAGATGCAAATGAAATGGATGAATTGGATTCTATCTGGAGGGGGGGGGGAAAGGTTATTTGGAGTTACAGCTACCCCTTTTCCCGTCGTCAACAGGCTACAAGTGCAGGTCCAAAGTTTGTGATAGTCTCACCCTATGGTGCACTAAATATGGGGTTTATCCTTAGAGCACACAGTTAATCACTGGCAGTGCTTACAGCACATTTAATCCACGGGGAACAGCTGTTTATTTATTGAACTGTATTTTTATCCTGCTTCCCAGGGGCCCTGTTCTCCCAATATACTTCCAAGCCTCACAGCAGCATTCTGGGTAACCTCTTCACCGCTTCATTAAATGTGGATATTGGGGTGTGTGGAAAACCCCACTCTCGTAATATTATTAGAACCAACAGCGCAAGTATTGCTATAAGGCTGCTGGAACCCAGCTGCAAAAATGGGGTTGGTCACTAGTGGGCAGCAAAGAGAGGTCAAATGTACTTAGGAGAGGCCAAGAATCTTAAAAAAAAAAAAAAAAAGTTTGTGGGAAGATCTTGTGGAGAAGGGATGAATTAATCGAACTGCTTTCATGTTACGGTGGGACAAATTTTCACTACACCAGTGATGGCTAACCTTTTTGCCATCGTGTGCCAGGAAGGGGGGAGTGGGGGAGGTTTGCGTGCGCACATGCCCACCCCCATAATTGCAACCCAGTCCTGGCACGCGATGGCCCGATAAGCCCATTTTCTGTCACCTGGCTCCAGATCCTCTCC